CAGTCCTCTAGCTATGGTCAGCAGGAATCTCGCTCAGGTCAGTCTCCCAGCTTTGGCCAGCAGAGCTCTCACTCTGGTCAGTCTTCCCACTATGGCACAGGCAACTCAGGGTCAAGCCAGTCTTCTCACCATAGGAGACACAGCTCTGGCTCAGGACAGCCTTCTGGTTTAGGTCAGTATGGCTCTACATCAGGACAGGCTTCTGGCTCCAGCAGGCAAGGATCTGGACAAGGTCAGTCATCTAGTACCGGACAATATGGTGCTTCATCAGGACAGTCTTCAGGCTGTGGCTCAGGTCAGTCCACTAGCTATGGACAACAAGGGTCATCAGGAACATGTCAGTCATCTAGTCACAGGCCAGGCCGGTCTAGCTCATCGGAGTCTTTTGGCTCCCAACAGTATGGGTCTGGCTCAAGAGGAGCTTCTGGCTTCAGTCAACATGGATCTGGGCAAAGCCAGTCTTCTTGTGGCGGGCAGCATGGTTCTTTCTCTGGACAGTCAGCAGGCTCTAGTCAACATGGATCTTGTTGTGGTCAGTCCTCTAGCTATGGTCAGCAGGAATCTCGCTCAGGTCAGTCTCCCAGCTTTGGCCAGCAGAGCTCTCACTCTGGTCAGTCTTCCCACTATGGCACAGGCAACTCAGGGTCAAGCCAGTCTTCTCACCATAGGAGACACAGCTCTGGCTCAGGACAGCCTTCTGGTTTAGGTCAGTATGGCTCTACATCAGGACAGGCTTCTGGCTCCAGCAGGCAAGGATCTGGACAAGGTCAGTCATCTAGTACCGGACAATATGGTGCTTCATCAGGACAGTCTTCAGGCTGTGGCTCAGGTCAGTCCACTAGCTATGGACAACAAGGGTCATCAGGAACATATCAGTCATCTAGTCACAGGCCAGGCCGGTCTAGCTCATCGGAGTCTTTTGGCTCCCAACAGTATGGGTCTGGCTCAAGAGGAGCTTCTGGCTTCAGTCAACATGGATCTGGGCAAAGCCAGTCTTCTTGTGGCGGGCAGCATGGTTCTTTCTCTGGACAGTCAGCAGGCTCTAGTCAACATGGATCTTGTTGTGGTCAGTCCTCTAGCTATGGTCAGCAGGAATCTCGCTCAGGTCAGTCTCCCAGCTTTGGCCAGCAGAGCTCTCACTCTGGTCAGTCTTCCCACTATGGCACAGGCAACTCAGGGTCAAGCCCATCTTCTAGCCACAGGAGAAGCAGGTCTACATCACGGGAGTCTTCTGGCTCCCAACGGTATGGGTCTGGCTCCAGAGGAGCTTCTGGCTTTAGTCAACATGAATCTGGGCAAAGCCAGTCTTCTCGTGGTGGCCAGCATGGTTCTTTCTCTGGGCAGTCAACACATAGTCATCAGCATGGGTCTGGCTCCAGCCAGTCCTCTAGCTATGGTCAGCAGGAATCTCGCTCAGGTCAGTCTCC